TATATATATATATATATAAACAAAAAATTAAGTTCATGATAAACACCTTCCCTTTTTGGAAAAAGTTAATTATGCTTTGATTTTCTTCATAGAAAAAATGACCTACTCATTACAGAAACTTTCAAAATAGAAAAAAGGAAGAGAAATTACATGGCTCCCTCTTCAACCCCAGCTCATTAGGAAACTACTTCTGAGTCTTTTTTGTTTAATAAGCAGACATTTCTTTACATAGTTATGCAATTTGATAAGCTATAATTTTCTCTCAAGGTCATAAAAATATCCCTTCAATATAGCTGGATTTTCATAGTAAGCATTATATATATATGGTCACTATCATAGTCTCAAGTCTTTTAAGAGGAGGTATATAGTTTACTAGCCAATTCCTTTCCTTTAGGTTATTTCGAAGTTCTTGGTTACCATAAACAGTGCTGGGATAAATAGCCTCATGCAGAGAATTTTTATGCAGGCCAGACCGGAACCCACCCCACTTAAATCACAGACTACCAGAGGCTAATTTGGTGTTTGGCAGTGGGCCTTGGCCTGAGCTGAATTCTTTCTTGGAGAATTCTCGGGGTTCCGTGGACTCCAGAAGGCCAGTGGCTGGCCTTGCTGTGTCCTGAGCCATTTATTGAGTCAACCCAGTCTTAGCACTGGCACCAAGTCTGAATCTGCATTAACCTGGTGAATACTATGCACCCCACCCTGGTAATACCCTGAGACCACGCCTCCCCCAACTCCTGTACAGCCCGAGGATCTTTCAGAGGCTGAGTCTTCTGGGCAGCTAGTAGGTAGCAGCAGGCATTGGAATGCCCTGGGCCTTTTACTGAGCTGCCTCAGGCCCTCTCCCATGACCCTCCTGGTCCAGACTAGTAGCGACCAAACGCAGATCACTTTGTAGTTCTGACAAGGTAGCCCTAGGTCAGTCACAGGCAGCAGCTGACCTTAGTCTACACCAGAGCCCCTCCCTAGAAGCCCAAGAACCAACACTCCCAGTGCCCAGCTTCAGACTACAACAAAGTACCACCCATTAGCCCCACAAATGGCACACCTAAAGGGTGGTCTCAGCAGGCACCATAATGACTAACCACTATGCTGTGCACCTGAAACTAATATAATATGAATGTCAATGTAACTGAAAAAAAAACAAATAATTTAAGAAAGATTTGCTGAAATATAATGAAAGGGTTACGACCTCCACGCTCCTATATGACAGTTCCATTTTCTGCCTGGTCTATCCCCGGCTCTGCTCTGGGAAGTTGGCCTCTATCTCACCATTGTCCACATGACTCTAGTGGAATTTAGGCACACAGATCATCTACTGCACACGAGTGCAGGAACGGCTGTGATTATTCATGAATGATGCTTGTAGAACAGATCGGTAAAGAGCTGACTCCTTTCAACACCTTCAGAGAAGCCCAGCCGCCCACAGAGGCTACTCTGGCATGAGGGGAACCTTCCTTAACAAACGTCGCACATGCTTCCAAAGTCGGATCCCGGAGCCAGAGGCTAGTGCGTGCAAAGGCTAGCGAGCCACGACATGACTGAACAAAGGGCCCCCGAAGTCCTCTGTGCATTACATGGAACCATCCCTCTTCTGCTACTTCTACTGCCATTCTGCCTCTTCCTCCTCTTTATTGTGTTTGCTATTATTTGTACCAAAATTATACAGGCAGATAATTCAAAGAACCTCATCACTCTGCAAGTTTTATTTCACTATAGCAACGACCCCCATCGCTCTCTCCCCTGTCTATCCCTTTGAGGTTATCATTTGGGTATTTAGCTCATTTCTAAATAATAAGTGTAGATGACTCCTTGGCTTTTCAGTTTCAAGGCTCTCCCTGCTGGCTTCCCACCACCGCAGAAGGTGAGTCTTTCCTCCCACTAGCCCTCCCCCACGAGACACGCTCATCCTCGCGGCTTCCCATCTCTCCAGTGCAGTATTATTGTATTTTTGGTGACATAAATTTTCAGGGTTTAGGGTGATTATGATTAAGTATGCTATGCAGAGATGATTCATGTAGCAAACTGTACTAGACACAGATGATGTCCTGTATAACACTTTCATTCCTTGGAGTTACTGTCTTTTATTTATTGTGGAGTTTTCTTTCTGAAGTCATTTATTTCAACTTCAGGTTCTTCACCCACTAAATAAATCTCTCAAGGCAGCCAGAGGCATCGGGAATTCTATCAGCTCCTTTATCCTGAAGAAGTCCCTCCATCTACTCCAATCAGAACCATGGTCATGGTTCAACCTCGGGCACAGCTGACATCCTTGAACTCCCTTCACCATCATCCTGGAGACTTCCTGTGCCTGTCTGTCTCCTCTGCTGGAGCTCCAGCTTTCTGTGTTCTCTTCCTCCTCCTTGATTTGTCCCTTCATTATATATATATATATATATATATATATATATATATATATACACACACACACACACACATACACACACATATATAT